TAAACTAAACTAAGACCTAGGTAACAACCTGAAATGCAATGCAGCTGAAAAGATCTTTGAGGATAATGTACAAACAAATTCACTTACCCTCTTTTTTTTTGAGACCGAGTCTCTGTCACCCAGGCTGGAGTGCAGTAAGCAATCTCAGCTCACTGCAATCTCCACCTACTGGGTTCAGGCAATTCTTCTGCCACAGCCTCCCAGGTGGCTGGGATTACAGGTGTGCACCACCACGCCCAACTAATTTTTGTATTTTTAGTAGAGACGAGGTTTCACCATGTTGGCCAGGCCAGTGTCAAACTCCTGACCTCAGGTGATCCACCCACCTTGGCCTCCCAAAGGACTGGAATTATAAGCATGAGCACCTGGCCACTTTCCCTCTTTTATTTAGCTAGAGGTACAAGTGAAAATTAGAGACCTTGTTTTCTTTGTGAAAAATAAATGTATCCAATTCAATAAAATCTCCTAATAGAAGCTAATGGCCTTCAGTAGGTAGAAACTATGGTTATAAAGAAAATTCCTATTGCTTTCAGTTTAGTGCTTCATCAACACATCAAAGGAAATAATCCAAAACTGATGATCCCAGAGTGTGGTCTGATAAAATCTGTTAACTAAGAAAATTCTTGAGATGTGCTATATTTTAAGTTTTTAAACTTTAAGAATTAAATTTTTATTTGGAAATAATTTATAACTTCCACAACAGTTGCAAGAATGGTGCAAAGAATACATCATATTCTTTCACCCAGATTCACCTACTGATACCATTTTATTCTGTTTGCTTTTGTTATCTCTTTACACACACACACACACACACACACACACATTTTTTGAACCATTACACAGTATAATCATGGTCCTTTATTCTTAAATACTTCCTAGATTATTTCCTAAGAATATGGTTATTCTCTTATAAAACCACAGTATTATTAATAGCTTCAGCACATTTAACATTGAAACATTGTTGTCTAGTCATCCATTTTGTCAACTGACTCAACAATGTCTTTTATCTCATTGTTCTCATTCAGTATATGATAGGCACTGCCTAGTTGTCCAGTCTTTTTAGCTTCCTTTCACCTAGACCTTTTCCACATTCTTACATGACATTCACATTTTTGAAGAATATGATCCCCCTCTTTGTAACAGAACATTCTTAATTTGGGGTGATGTTACCTCATGACTGAATTCAGGTTACGCATTCTTGACTGGAATACAGCTATATATTAGTTATGTGGCCTTCTCCAGGTATCATGGATTTCCATGTGCCCTTCATTAATGATGTTAATTTTTATTACCTGGTCAAGGTGTCCATTTTTCCCATTTTATAATTACTAATTTTTCCCTTGACATATGTGGGAGGCATGCAAACATCCTGGCTCCTCATTGAAGCTGCCCCTAGATTTAGGATCCTTTGTTGATTCTTGCCTGATCTAATCCTTAACACAATGGTTGAAGAATAATAAGCTGCCAACTCCAGCATTCCTACATTTACCAGTTGGCACTTGACATTCTATGCATGATTCATTTTCCTTATAGTAGTTCACAATTCATTAATGTACTTAATTGTTTTAGCACTCAAAATGACCCAGATTTAGTCAGTGGGAGTTCCTTCCAGCTGGCTCCTGTGTCCTATGACAAGCCTCCAACATATTTTTAGGAACTTCTTTCCTTCCTCTCCTTGCTTTTTGTTTTTGAGACAGGGTCTCACTCTTTTGCCCAGGCTGGAGTACAGTGGCCTGATCACAGCTCATTGCAGCCTTGACTTCCCAAGTTCAAGTGATCCTCCCATCTCAACCTCCCAAGTAGGTGGAACTACAGGCATGTACCACATCTGGCTACTTTTTAATTTTTTTTTGATATTGGGTCTGTGTTGCCCAGGCTAGTCTCAAATTCCTGGGCTCAAGCAATCCTCTTACCTTGGTGTCCCAAAGTGCTGGGATTACAGGCTCTTTCCTTACTTTCCTACAAAAATTATAAAATATTATAAGATGTCCCAGGCTTATTTTATACCTATCCTGCCTCAGTCTTGTAATAAATCATTTTTCTAAGAAGTCTTGGTTCCTTTTTAGTGGAGAATGGTATTAGAGACTAAGATGTGGGCATTATGCATGGTCACTGCTACTGGGGTACTACTGTTTCTCATCCTTTTCAATGGACAGAAGTATGAAATACATGCATTTGCCATGTGTGTATAAATACATTTATCTGTATACACACATGTACACAGCCACATATACATGCATGTAACACACACATATGCATATTTTTTTAAGTGTAAGTCCATACTGATACCTCGAATTGCAATCTATTTGCATGGGGTTTTCTTCTGTCTCCCCAGTTGATAATTGTGTATTCCTGTTTCTTCTGTAAGAACCCTGACTCCCAAGTACATCAACCCATTTTCTTTTTTTTTTTTTTTTTTTTTTTTTTTTTTGAGATGAAGTCTTGCTCTGTCACCAGACTGGAGTGCAGTGGCACGATCTCGGCTCACTGCAACCTCCACTTCTCGGGTTTAAGAGATTCTCCTGCCTCAGCCTCCTGAGTAGCTGGGATTACAGACGCAGCTAATTTTTGTATTTTTTGTAGAGACAGGGTTTCACCATGTTGGCCAGGATGATAGTCATGATCTCTTGACCTTTTGATCTGCCCACCTCAGCCTCCCAAAGTGCTGAGATTACAGTTCAGGCCGAGCTCGGCTTGAACTCATTTTCTTAATCCTATAATGCATCTACAATGGCTGCAGAATTGCTTTGCCCACACTACTAGCTCAGTATTTGTTTGTAATTCTCCCTCATCCTTTATATTGCATCTCACACAAAAGAGTATATATAGTCAAATACTGTGTTTATAAACTAATCACTTGGATTAGTTCTTTTTTTATTTTTTTCCTTATCTTTCAATAATTTTGTTACCATTGTAGTTATTGTAATAATATGAAAAATAATTAGGTTCATTTATTTCAATTTGGTTACAGCTTGAGGTATTTTTCTCCTTTCCATTCTTAGGTACTTAATTTTTTTGCTTATGTAGAATATTTACACAATACCAATAGTAAAAATTACATCCAAAAAGCTACACTCAGAGAACCGTCACTCCTTTTTTTTTTTTGATGGAGTCTCTCTCTCTCACCAGGCTAGAGTGTAGTGGCATGATCTCAGCTCACTGCAACCTCCACCTCCTGGTTTCAAGTAATTCTCCTGCCTCAGCCTCCCAAGTAGCTGGGACTACAAGTGCGCACCACCACACCCAGCTAATTTTTGTATTTTTAGTAGAGACAGGGTTTCACCATGTTGGCCAGGATGGTATTGATCTTTTGACCTTGTGATCCGCCCGCCCTGGCCTTCCAAAACGCTGGGATTACAGGTGTGAGCCACTACACCCCACCATCACTCTTTTCCATATCCTTTCTGTCCCATTCCTTGGATCCCTTATAAGTAACCAAGTTCATTATTTTCTAATTTATTCTTTGTTTCTTTTTGTAAAAATAAGAGTAGATATGCTTTTTTATTTACCTTCCAGTTTTATAAAAGAGAGCCTATTATACATACTTTTTGTATCTAATATTACCTGTGAAAATCACTCTAGGTTAGTTCATAGAGATCTTATTTTTTTATTATAGCTGTATGGTTGGTACTCCATTCATGTATGTATCACAGTATATTTCAACTAATACCCTATTCTTGGACATTTACTTCCTAATACTGTGCAGTTAAAAATAATACTGCAGGCCAGGGATGCTGGCTCATGCCTGTAATCCCAACACTTTGGGAGGCTGAGGTGGGTGGATCTTGAGGTCAAGAGATCAAGACCACCTTGGCCAACACGGTGAAACCCCGTCTCTACTAAAAATACAAAAATTAGCTGGGCATGGTGGCGCATGCTTGTAATCCTAGCTACTTGGGAGGCTGAGGCAGGAGAATTGCTTGAGCTAGGGAGTCAGAGGTTGCAGTGAACCGAGATCACGCCGCTGCACTTCAGCCTGGGCAACAAAAGCAAAACTCCATCTCAAAAAAATAAAAATAAAATACTGCAATAAACAACTCGATGTCTATGTATATTCATAATATTGAAAATGTATTTCCAGATAAAGTCTTGGAAATGTGAAAAGAGTAAGCACACATGTAGTTGTCTTAACCAAATTTCCCTCCATATGGGTTGGAAACTATTATATTTTATACTATTTTGAGACAGAGTCTCGCTCTGTCACCTAGGATAGAGGGCAGTGGAACAATCGCTGCAGCCTCAACTTCCCAGGCTCAAGCAATCCTCCAACCTCAGCCTCCCAAATAGCTGGAATTACACGAGCGCCGCTACGCCTGGCTTATTTATTGTGTTGGTAGAGATGGGGTCTCACTATCTTGCCCAAGCTGGTCTTGAATTCCTGGGCTCAAGTGATCCTCCTGCTCTGGCCTCCTAAAATGCTGAGATTACAGGCATGAGCCACCATGCGTGGCCAGTACTACATTTTACCAAAGTTATGTAGTAATATATTGATACCTTGGAAGTCCTAGTGCATCTCTTTTGGATTTCAGGTGTTTGCTAGATGTAATCTAATAACACTGAAACTCTCCCTCTCACTCCTACCAACCTTAATTTTTTTTTTTTTTTTTTTTTTTTTTTTTTTTTTTTTTTTTTTGAGTTTCGCTCTCATTGCCCAGGCTGGAGTGCAATGGCGCAATCTCAGCTAACTGTAACCTCTGCCTCCTGGGCTCAAGCAATTCTCCTGTCTCAGCTTCCCAAGTAGCTGGGATTACAAGCACCTGCCACCATGCCTAGCTAACTTTTTTCTACTTTTAGTAGAGATGCAGTTTCACCATGTTGGCCAATCTGGTCTCAAACTCCTGTCCTCAGGTGATCCACCTGCCTTGGCCTCTCAAAATGCTGGGATTACAGGCATGAGCCACCACACCCAGCCTCAATCTTGTATGTTTTTTATGTTTGTTTTATATCTTGCAAAATTTTGGAGAAAGGAAATACAAAGAAAAGTCAGTTACTTTACTTACTAAGTGGTGTTGTGTCAGGAGGTGGAAAATTCTCAGTAAAGTTGACATTACATAAATCTGTGCTACAACAGCAGAAACGGTATGTTCCATTTTGAATTGAGGGAGGAGTGGTAGTTACTACACATTCTTCATAGTGACACTCTTGGGGATCCCCAATGTGAGACCAACATCCTAGAAATCAATATTAACATAAAAAAGTTAGTAGACAATATGAGAAAGAAAACTAAAAGAAGAAGAGCAAACTAAGAAGTAATTTCAATAAATGTGAGAGTACATATAAGCTAGGAAACAGGCCGGG